TTTTTTTTTTTTTTTTTTTTTTTTTTTGCAGAGCACTTTTGTTTCATATTGTTATTCATATTGTTAATTGATTGCAATTGATTGCAATTGATTGCAATTGATTGCAATTGACAGTGCACTCTTGATTGTGTGACTTTGATGCTTACAGAATATAATAAATATTTAATATAAATATTACCTTGAAGGCTTCAAGTATTCATTATTAATGTATTATTGATAAAATAATTCAAGTTTATTCAACTAATCAGCCAGGTCCTAGGTTACCTGGGCAAGGTCCCAGTACCTAAGAGGATTGGATTCACCACCTGAATCTGGACGCATTTGTGGAGAGGTGCACAAAATCACCATTGATATTCTTCTCTACATCTCTGCTTAGAAGTTAGAACCTATCCAGATTCAGGCACTCAATCCAATCCTCTGTCCTAGTGGGACTTGGCCACCAGGAGGGAGATCCCACTACCGACGTATGTGGATTAGTGGAGAGGGTGTGTGACTCCGAAGAACTGCTGATCCGAATGGTGATCGGCGGTGTGGTGTTTCTTAAATTTGAGCGGGGGGTCATATATGTATTTTTGCGGCCCCCCATTGGCTGGTTTTATTTTGTTGAGTAGGCCGCGCAGAGCTCCCCAACGTGAGTGAAAATCATAACGATTTTTTTCGTTATGATTTTCACACACCTTCCACACACCTTTGGTTTGTGGCCCATGCATGGAAGAGAGGCCAAAATCGACAATGTGGGAGGTGTTTTGGGAGGATTCGATCCCCTCACCTACATCAAATATGGCATAGGGGCTCGTTCGACACTCCTAGGGCGAGTAAAATCCCCGAGGAAATCATCGTTCCACCTATCCTCGGGGAACAAAACGAACCCTTGGAGGTCGAGCGTCCGGAAGAATCGGAGCGTCGACGGCAGCTCTCTCGACGACAATTTTCGACGCGGCTGGTCCATCGCTGTTCCTCGCGGCCCGTGGATGGACATCTTCGGTTGGCAACGGTCGGCGTCATGGAATACTCCGCCAACGGTCCCTTCGGCGGCCTGCCGTCCTTCGCGACGTCGGAAAGGGGCTGCCTTGCGTTGCCGCCCTTCGACCGTGGTGGGAAAGCGGCCACGGTCGGCAGATTCGAATACTTCAGGCCGCCCCCGCTTTCCCGATCGTGTTGTGTCTTCCGCGACGGAGCTTCCGTTATCCACCATTTGTCGTTAGCTGCGATCGGCCGTTTTCGGCAGAGTGTCCGTCACCGTTTCCTGTGCGTCCATGGCTGTCTTGCAGGTGCTCACGTCGTCCACGTGTGTTTCATGGCCGACGTCTTTCGGAGGCTGCCACTGCTGGTGCTGGTCGTCCTCCTGCTTGTCCTCGTACTGCTCTTCCACGTCTGTGTCGTCGGCATCGTTCCGCGACGTGGGCGCAGGCGACGGTGTGCAAAGAAGGACGTCAGTATGGATGGGCGGCAGGCGGTTTGCAAGTCTGTAGGGGGTGAGGGTGGTGGCCAACGGGCCGGGCAGAGCCCGTCTAGAGGTTCAAGGGCGGTGGAGCGGTCGGAGTACGCACACCTGCCACCGCACTTGCAGCCTTTGCCGGACACATCGGACGAGGAGGAGGACGACAGACGTTCACGTGCCGTGCCGCTGGGAAGCGGGTCTACGCAGGAGTGGACGGCCACAGAGCTTTGTGGAAGCCGCGAGCCCAGTTACGGGCAGTCGTACACCCAGCTCCTCCAGCAAGGCCTGAGCGGTGACGAAGGAGATGGAGGTGTGAATCTGACGTTCGGTCTGTGCAGTGGGAGGTCGTCGTCTTCGACGCGGACAGTGCTAGTCGACAACCGTCCCGATGACGATGGCGGCCAGGTGACGGCTGTTGCATGACCGTCGAAGTCTCCAGCGTCGTCGGTCCGCGTGGCGTCGGGGAACAACAAGGATCCTCGTACGCAGCAATACAGGGCGTCGTCTGCTTCAAGGGGTGCCTCACCTCGCCCGTCGTGGATGTTGTCCCCGTCTCCCCTGTCCGGCAATTCGAGTGCGGCTCGCAATCGGGGGGAATGCGGGGAGCATGATTGCGAGATCGAGGAAAGAGGTGACGAACGCGACGGGAGGGAGGTGTGGCAAGAACAGCGACGGATGCTCCATCCGCGACGGCAAGAATCCATAACACGGGGCGTGCAGCGACTGCGAGTGGTGGACGACGAAAACGACGGCGACGCACCTGATGTCGGCGGCAACGATCAGGACTTGAATGACGACGACTGCGGGGGTGGGGAGGACGACGCAGGTCAAGTATCGCCATCCAAGCAAAGCAGCATGGGGGGGGAAGGGCGGGAGGGCGAAGGCGTCTGTTCGCAACGGTGGGCGGGGGAAGAAGGCGATGGGGAAGGGGAGCGACGTCGAAGCTGACGGCGATGCAGAAGGCGGTCGTCATTTTTGGTCCGTCGACGACATGGTGGCCCTGATACGGGCTAAACGTGACCAGGACGCGCATCTGCAGGGAATGGGCACCGCGTACGCTCGTATGAAGCCGCGAGAATGGAAGTGGTTGGATGTGGAGCAAAGGCTGAAGAAGGTGGGCGTGGAGAGGAAGGCAGAACGGTGCGGGAAAAAGTGGGACAATTTGATGCAGCAGTTCAAGAAGGTGCACCACTTCCAAGGCTTGTCCGGGAAACAGGACTTCTTCCCGTTCACAGGGAAGGAGCGGTTGTCGAAGGGCTTCAGTTTCAACATGGATCGTGCGGTTTACGACGAGATCCTGGGGTCGACTGCCAAGAGCTACACCATTAACCCCAAGAACGTCGCAGACACTGGTGCTCCGGGGGGTGTGCGTCTGCCGTCGACGAATTCTGGTGATCCGGAGTCTGTCGGGGATGGGGACGCTGCTGTAGGGCTGGACGACGACGACGACGGGTCGACGAGAGGTTCTTCTCAGACGACGGGAGGCCCTGCTGGCTTCGGCAAGAGGAAGAGCACGAGGCAACAAACTTTCGACGTTCTGTCGGAATGCATGGAGAAGCACAGGGCTCTGGTGGCGTCGACGATGGAAAGCAACAGCAAACGGCAGTGTTCAATCCAAATCCAGCAGTGCGAGGCATTGGAAGCGGAGGTTGAGGTGCAAAAGAAACACTACGCTGCGTCCGACGAAGTTAGCAAACTGATGTGCCACGCTCTGCTTGAGATAGCAAAGGCCATCCGCGAGCGTTAGCCGCTGTGTTTGCTCCTGTATGCCTGGTCGAGTCCATCGTTATGACGGCATTGGTAGTGTCTGGTCGTCCGGATGGGTAGATGAGTCCCCCGTTTCAATTCACGTTTGTCGACGTGTGTCCTTCGCTTATTTTGGCGATTTTTTTTTTTATATTTTTTATTAGGCTCCAATAACTTTTCATAGAGCTTGTGTGTTGCGACATGTGTATCCAAACTCATTTTCGGATTTGTCGCGGGCTGCTGTCCTGTGTCGGGACGGACAATTTCGTCATGTTTGATTTTGCAACGGATCCAAAGAAGTGGATAGACCACTTCCCTTTTTTATATTTGAAGCGGGTCTGCGTTTCATCCCTCCCTTTCCATTTCTCTCTCTCTCTCTCTCTCTC